ATTAAATTTCTTCAAAAAAACATACTGATTTTAAAAAAAATTTATATTAAATATCTCATTTCAATTTATGTACATAAACTTATAGATATTTATAAATTAATCGAGATTTAATAACTCCTTGTAAGTATATTGAATGATATAAAAAGTATTCGTAATCTTTTTTATACATTTTTGAATAATTTTCGTTACTGAAAATTAATTTCAATAAAGCTTATGTTGACTGTTGTTATTTATGACTACTTGCCATTCGACTAGATTCATGGTTCCATTAATGCAAAACTTCTTTGCTTTATCGGCGAAAAACTTGTCCGAGGATGCATCAAAACTTTCCACCCAAGTTTCATTAATATGTTACGAGGCTTTAAAGACATGTGTGTTCTGCCATTATCATGATGATACACAACTCAATTTCTGTTGACCAATTCCAGTCGTTTTTTCTTGATTGTTTCATTCAAGTGGTCGAAGTGGGAGCAATAAAGAACCAAATTAATCGTTGAACCAGGCTGGAACGACTTCTAATAGACAATTCCCTTGCAATCCTACCAAACATTCAACATAAGCTCATTTATAGTCAATCCAGACTCTTAGTTGTTGATGGACGATCAACTGCCGTTCACGATTGCCATGATCACCTGCCATTTTCTATGATTGTTTATGTTGAATATTCTCGTATTGAAACGTGGTTAATCAAATTTATGTTGTACCCAAATATCAGGCGCCTTCGATTAGCCTGTACTTTTTAAATGATTTGAAGCTGTCATATGGCTTTCAGAGTCAGTGCCATAAGTGGACTTTAAATGCACCCGCTATATTCTGATAACTTGGTTGATGGTTTTTGCTCTACTAATTGAACGGTTTCATCGTTTTCTATAGTGAAAAAAAAAACGGGTTTTATTTTAATACTACCAAATTTAAAGTAAGAGAATATAAATAAATAAATATATACACAGGTTGAAATTTTGATTTTTTTTATAGATATCTTGTAAAAACTTTCCGAACACTGTCTTGTGTTTCAAGCAGAAGCTCAAAAAACTTCTTTATATACAATAGATAACCCAACAAAAAAAATACTCCAATATGCATCAAAAGAAAGAAGGAAAAGAGGGCGTCCGAGTTTACGCTGGAGAGACAATGTGGATTAAACAGCGCAACAGCTTGGAAGAAGAAACTGGAGAATGATAGCAAACGAGTAAAATACGTGGAGGAATTTTCACAGGGAGGCCAAGATTCAGCTAGGATCGTTGATGCTGATGATGATATACAAACAAGCGATCATAAAAGCAATACGTTCCTAATGAGTATATTCCGAATACCTAATAAGAAGATAATGTTCAGTAGTACAAGGAAGCAATCAACAGATTGATGTGTAGACATGGAGTATGAGTATATTCAATTCTTGGCCAAAAATGCACAGAGGGAAATGAAATAGTTGAGAATACTGCTAAAATTGGCGTTGAGCTTGCAGAGGCCAAATACGCAAAGTACTTAAGCCATAGACATATACAGAAAAGTATATGAACACATACTGTACCTGTATTAAGTACTGAAAAATATTACTGCATGTCTGTATTGCCATTCAATCGACAGAAATGCAGAACGATAGTTGCTACTTTCAACGGACATTGCGTTTTTACAATGCTTACGCGTAAGCCACATATCAACAGCAGTGACGACAACATGATATTTAAAAAATCATGCATCAACGAAGTCCTAGAGTATCAAGTTTCTGTCCGACTTACTCAAAAATATCAACAAAATTTTTCGTCCTTGTTATTGAGTAAAGTACCCCGTAAAATACGTTAACGATACATATATCTTAAGCAATGTCCCCTGTCAACAACTATCTTTAAGGACTCTGACTTTAATCTGCTATTACGAATATTACTATCAACATCGCTTCGATGATGACCATATCTCTCTTCAAATAAAAGTTAGGATGTAATTGTATGCTCTTTCCACTACAAATTTACAATTTTTGACGGAATGAGTCTAAAGTATGCTTTGACATTTCATATTTGTCCTGGATGCAATTGCAATCAGAAATTTAAGTGGGAAATGTTACTAATGATAGGCAAACA